TCGTGCTGTGAGAGAGGCAAGCCACCTGCACCGCTCGCCACGGACAGGGACAGGGCAAGGCAGGGCACCACTCGGCCGAGCAGAAGGGCCGACAGCGACGCTCGGCCGAAGCGGCAGTGCACAGCAGAGCCCTGGCGCTCCTGGAGCACGCAACGCCGGGCAACCGCCAGGCAACAGCCCCCACCCCCACTCACGCCATGTAGGACTCCCCCGGACTCCCCGCTGGCCCTGTGGAAGAAGGGCCCAAGGGCCCAGCGGCCCGACCGCCACCCTCTTCGGGGTCAATGTCTGGGCCTGCACTGCACAGTGTGCACACCGCCAGGTTGCTTTCGACACATCGCGCTGGACGCGGCCCTTGTGGGGCGGCCCCAGCATGGCGCATCCTGTCCCATGCTCCATTTTGGCCCATCCTATCGCATCCTTCCCCGGCCCTGGCCGCCAGGCGGCGAGTCCTAGGAAGGCCAGCGCGGCCCGCCAACTCCGCCACGCGATCAACAACCACCCCGCGGTGGCCGAGGTCACTTCCTGGTTCAACAACAGGGCCAACCCGACAGGGCGAGGCGTGCCATCAATTTCAACTTCAACTTGGTCGAGTCATTTCCACGCGGCAGCCAGGCAGCCCCATGACGACACAGCCGGCCGCGGTCTGACGCGCCGTTTGAAGAAAAGTGCGCGGGCGGCGTGGCGGCGTGGCGGGGTGGGGCCTCTCGGGGTTGTCGGCCTCCTGCACGCCGCACGCCCCCACACGCCTCGCTGCGACACGCTCTGAGATGACGCAAAGTCACCGCATGCCAGCAATGCCAGCGCCCACAGTGTAAGCGCGACCCCTCCGCGGCGCGCCGCCAGCGACCGTCAGCGACCCGCCAGACCATCTTGGCCGCTCATTCCGTTTTTGTTTTCAGCTGGCTGACGAGGTGCCCGCCGCGTCGCCGAACCCGAACGCCTCGCGCGGATCGGGTCCGTCCACCCTGCCGCGGCGCTACCCCCCACGGGGTCCTTCGGGACTCGGCGACCCGGGAAGGGAGGCTGGAAGAGCGGCGAGAAGTTTAATTCGGTGGCCCCAGACCCCAGGGCCCCAGACCCCAGGGCCCCAGGATCCAAGACAAGACCCTTCAGCCTCTCGCCGCTAATTACTTTAATCAGCGCGGAATACCGCCTCGCCTCCAACGAGGCCTCGAACCTTCCGCGTCGCTCCGACGGCCACATGCACGGCAGGGGCGGGCAGGGCGCCCCCTCGTCCGCTCCGCTCGTCGTCGGCGGGGTGAATGGGCACGGGCGGGGCGCATGCGCGCGGCCAGAGCGGAGCGCGGAGCGCGCAGCCAACCACCTAGCGGCGCGGCGCGGCGCGGCCGAGCCCTGCTCCGAGCCCTGCGCTTCGCCGCTTCGCCCTGCGCCGTCAGACTGCCGTGTTTACGTGTGGGGTCGTCGAACCGCCGCCGCGTCGCCATGGCGACAGCCCCGCAACACCAGCGACCAGCGCCGCGCCGCGCCAACGCCAGGGGGCGCCACCTGCAGCGGCCCGCAGCACCCCAAGTCCGAGTCCCCGACCGCCCCGACCCGAGCGCCGCGCCGCCGCGCCGCCGCGCCACTGCTCCAGCCCGAGACGGACGTCCGTCCGATTCTTTGCGAGGGTTGCGAGGGTCCGGGTTCGGCCTGACAGGGACCGAGCAGGAGGACGGTGTGCTCACCGCCGGGTTTTGGTCATTGGCTAACAAAGAACCGGGTTCGATCCACGCCGCCGTCAGCGGGTTTGACCTGGTTCGGGCCGCGCAGTGAAATCCTCCCCTTCCTCTCCCCACCATTTAGCGCCCTCCTGGTTCCCTTCTTCCACTTCCGGTCGGGAGAACCGGAAGTGGCGCGCGGCGCCGAGCGCGATCGATAGCCGAAAGGGGTGTGGATGCTCGGATGCTGCGAGGGAGGGCGACCTTGAGGGAGGGGTGGGGGAGCGCACACCAGCGCACCCAAGGTGAACGACCTCCGTGCCGAGGTCAAAGGGGTGCCGGCTGCTTCCCGTGCGGACACACTGGACTAGACCAAGAGCACATGGCCATCATCATCCTACAGTGCCTCGGCATGTCCCCACGACGGCGCGGGCAGCACGGGCAGCGCCTTCCCTTCAACGCCAAACCTCCAAACCTCCACCCAAGCCTCCACCACACCCCGCCAGCTGCCCTTCCGCGTGGAGGGGCAGTCCACGCCAAGTTTCCGGGGGGCGCGCGCCCCACCACGCCCCCACCGCACCGCGCCCCGCCTCGCCACTCCGGCCGCCGCGCCCGCCCCGCCGCCCCGCGACGCCACCCTTCGCCCCCGGCGCTCTAAGGTCAATGGCCGAGGCTCCCCGCCGCACGGCCCGCACCCCCCTGACACAGATACCGCCACCCCTCGCACCCTCGCCGCTATCGAGCCGCGGCACCGCCAGCACGGCCAGCACGGCCAGCAACAACACGGATCGTGGCACGGCGGCACGGCGGCACGGCCAGGCATGGCGGCAAAACACTTCCAGGCTGCTCGCTGCTCGCGCGGCGCGGAGAAAAGCCGCTCGCCTCCGAGGCTCCAATCGGCGACTCCACGCCGGTCGCCCACAAACGCACGGCCAGTGGGCCAGAAGACCGGCGGATGCGGTCAAAATCCCGGAAGCGTTTTGAGCTCTCCAGAATCACATGGGACTCGAACCGAGCGTGTGACCCCACCAATGGATTGCTCCTCGAAAGAGGAATCCATTGATGGGGTCACACGTTCGGTTCAAGTCCTGCTTAGCGACTCTGGGACTCAAAACGCGTCGAGAGTTTTGGCCGCCGCCGGCGCAGACGAGCCAGGTTGGCCTCACCCCGGCCGACCCCGGCCCTGCAGGTATCCGCCGTCCGTCTCACCAAACGGTGGCGGCGGGCTGATCGGAATGACATTGCCCGAGTCAACGCCCTTGTCCTTTGAGGAAGGGACCGCCGGGCCGGGACCGCGCCACTGCCGGGACGGGGCGGGCGAAGGGCCCGAGGGGCCCGAAGGGCTCGAAAGGGCCGCGTGTCTTTTTACGGCGCCCCGGCCCCTCCCCCTTCGGCCCCTTCGCCGCGTGCAGAGGCGGGGCAGGCGGGGCAGGCGGGGCGGGGCGGGCGGCAGGGCTGGCCTACTGAGTGCGCTGCACTTCCCGGTGCACTGCACTGCACTGGTGGCGTAACGCCGCTGCACTCGCTGCACTTTCTCTTGGATTATGCAGCCTGCCTCGCGCCTCGCGCCGCTTTTGCCTTCCCTTCCGGCCCTCGCGGTCTCGCTCGCGGTCTGGCTCGCGGTATTGACCGGGTCGCGGCGCGGCGCCATCAAAGCCACGCGTCAAAACAGCCAAAACGCGTCAGGAAAGCCCGGGAACCGCGCGCGGAACCCAACAAGCCCGAACGCGATTTGGATGCAAAGTTCGAAATTTCGACACGATGTGGGTACTTTTCTCCATTTCGATGAGGCGGACTGCGGACTGGCAGTTGAACAGTTCGTTGGTGAGCTTCATGACGGCCCGAACTGGCACGGTGGTGAAAACATTAAATTGGCTCAAATTTTGAGTTTTTGTCTCAGCCAACGCTGTTACTTATTCAGAAAGTTTTCGTTTCCGAAATCCTGATTTCATTCTACTGCGCCGATTTTTGACGTTCTGTGTCTAACTTTACAGACGTTACAAAATCCTTTCCCCTTCCTCATGAAGTTCGATGAAACGCAGAATGTGGGCAAAAAAAAGGCGTTTTGCAGTGTGCCGCTCGGCACGTCCCGGACGTGCACTGGAGACTGGTTCGGAAGAGCCGTTTTGTCGCCCTGCCCTCGTCGCACCCATCGGGCAGTGCGACACGCAGAGAGCGACAGAAGCACCCGTTCGGAAACGGACCCCACTGGGATGCATGGGATGCGTGGCAGAGCTTTGCAGCTGCGTGTCTGCATCGCACATAGGCGTCACGTGTTCGCCCAGAAGCCGCGCGCCAAACCGGCCATTTCGCGTTTCCCCTTGTCTCTCGGGCGAGCGTGGCTAGGACAGGCTAGGATAGGCCGCGCTCGTCGGGCCGTCGAGCCGCGCAGTGCCGCGCCGCGCTGCACTGACCCACAAAGGGTTCACTGACACGAGGCTCATCGCTTCCTGGAGCGCGGTGGCCTGGCGGTGGCCTGGCGGTGGTGGCGGTGCAGCTGCAGCCCGCCCCGCCGCGCTGCCTCGGACACTCGCTCCCTCGGACCTTTGGGGCCGAAGCCGCGAAGCCGCGAAGCCCAAGGCGGCCGCGGAGGAGGGAGGCGAGGCGTTGCATCACAGCCACTTGGCCGAAAAACGCCGCGCACCAGCTCGACGACGGCGCACCGGTACGTCGACCCACCACCAGGACGACGACGATGCACCAGGCCGATGGCGCACCCGGCCGATGGCGCACCGGGCCGATGGCGCACCGGGCCGATGGCGCACCAGGCCGATGGCGCACCGGGCCGATGGCGCACCGGGCCGGCACACCGGCACGCTGGGCCGGAAGGACTCGTCAGCGCAGAGCACAGTGGTCATTCAGTGAGGTGGGGTCAGCCTCCGGCCGCCTTTTGTCCTGCGAATAACGGTCCGGGCCTCCGGCCCGCAGCGCCACTGTGAGCAGCGCGAGCAGGCCGCGCGCTATTCGCACGTCAGCGCGCTGCACGTTCGGCAGGCCGGCAGGCTTGACATGTGCAACGCGGAGGGGGAGGAGGAAGAGGTACCGACTGCTCCTTACGTAAGGCCGCACTCCGCGGTAACTCAGCCTCCGCCGGGCCGGCCGGGCCGCGTGCGTCACCGAGTCGAGTCACGGAGCGCCCGGGGGTTGGGCGATAGGCAACCCGCCGCGGAGGTGGGCTCGGCGGGGCGGCCCGCCTCTCAGGGGCTCGGCCAGCAAGGCCAGCAAGGCCAGCTTGGCCAGGACCTCCCAGACGTCCCCAGGGCTCCCCAAGCGGGCCGGGCCCAGGGCTCGGGCCAGGCCCAGGGCCCTTGCATGCAAGCGTCCCTGTTGGATGCTTACCGGGGGGCGGCGGCGGGGCGGGGCAGCCGGGCCGGACCTGTGCCTCCTCAGAC